AGCAGAGGACTCCGTTTCCAAGACAACTGAAAGCGCACACCTTTGTGACCCACTGGGATTTTCCCCACTTAGAGCCCCAACCCAGAGGAGCAGGTCCTAGGCCTGAAGTGGAAACAGAGGCTGCCCAGGTCCCTCTGTGGTGGGCTGTGCTGCACTGTGCCGGGAGAGGCAGGACACTGCTGGGATGGTTCTCTGGGGAGAGGGGAATTGAAAAAGAAAGATGTCTCCGAGGAGGGCAGGGAGGGAGGGAGACTGTGTGGGGGACACACACACACACACACACACACACACACACCCGCCTCCCTGCCTTTTCCTAAGCCTTACTCTGGAGAGAAGCATTCTTCTTCCTGCTCTCTGAGCTTTCTCTTGCTTCCCCGCCCATCTGTGCTGTCAGCAGCGCCAGCAAAGTTGGCTTCAAACTTGAACGGAGCTGAAGGCTTCATCTTCCTGGGAGCTCCGCAGGGGCAGCAGCCAGTCCCACCTTTGAACTACTCTGGCTTCCTGAAGCCCCCTATGACCCTGCCAGCACCCAGCCAACCTTCTGTCTCCTGGGCAGCTCTTCTGCCCCTGCCCTAGGGGCGCCTGGGCTGGGCTGGGAATGGTGCACTGAGATCCCTCTGGAGCCGGTTGCCCCAGCCTGGAGCTGGAGCAGCCCAAGACCCAGATCAACATGGCTAAGCCTACACAGCCTCAGGAGCTGGGCTCCACCTTGCCGCAGAGCCTGCCTGAGATGGAGAAGCTCCTCACCAAGGTAGAGAGCAAGGATGACAAAGCCCTGAATCTGTCCAAGTCCCTCTCTGGGGCGATGGACCTGGAGCAGAATGGCCACAGTCTGCCATTCAAGGTGATCTCTGAGGCTCACCGGGGGGCCTCAATGCCTGGCTCCCCTTCCCGGGCCAGCTCAAGGCGAGCGTCCTCCATCATCACTACTTCCTTCGCTCAGGACCAAGAAGCCCCAAAAGATTACCTCGTCCTTGCCATCGCCTCTTGCTTCTGCCCCGTGTGGCCCCTCAACCTCATCCCCCTCATCTTTTCTATTATGGTGAGTCCTACTCGTTGTTCAGGGCCATGGGCTGGGCTCAGGGTCAGCAGTCCCAGGCATGCACTAAACAGGCTGCCCCAGTGCAGAGGAAAGAGCAGGGCTGGTTCAGGACATAGAGGAGACCCTTCCCTAGCTCCCAGCTTCCCCTTTGAGGGTGGTCGGGGGGCTGAGAGCTACTGCTTGTGCTCCTCTTTCATGGCTGCTCCTGGGCATTATAGCCTGACTTTGTGTCTGTCCCTGCTGGGGAGAGGTTCTTAGGGAGCTGCCTGAGATTAAGTCTGCAGGGCAGAAAATCAGCAAAGTTGGGAGTCTCCTTCTGGGGAGAGCGTGGGCTTTCTCCAAGAGCTGGTCCTGAGCAGAGTTCTGTGTCTGCAGACTGCAGCCCCGTGTGCCCAGGAGGGGGGTCTGGCCGCCCTGGTTCGCTTGGTCATTCTACCAGCCTCTGCTTGCTCCAGTTTTAAGCTGCAGTGTCTTCCCTGCTGTGCACTGGGTGCTTGAGGGTGGCAAGCTGCTGGGGGTGAGGAAGTTCTCCCTGAGTCCTCTGGACCTTGCAGTTATACAGATTTCACCCTCTGTCTGTAGGCAGGGGAGGCTGCAGTGTAGGTGAAAAATGTGAGACAGAACATGGCCAGCCTTGCCAAAGAGGGCTGTGCACCGGACTTTACTTTGGTAGACTGCGCTTTGTGGAGCCATTGAGGTAGAGCTACTCACAAAGGATCCCAAAGAAAATGTGGCATTTGAGGTCCAGGAAAGAAGGTGGGAAAGGCAGAAGGGAGGGAGAGAGGTGGACCAGGCAACGCCTTTTAGGATGAGGTTGGGAGCAGGGGAGGCCAAATGCAGTCCCCAGGCTGGTCAGGGCCAGAAAACTGGGTGGGGCGACGCTGCTTTCCCTGGAGTGGCACTATTGGTGAGTCATTTGTCCCTGAGCTCCTGGGAGCTGTGGTCACCCTGGCTGTTCCCCAGCCTCTCAGTCTACTTCATGAAGACCACCCAGGGAAACTGCCCTCACCCCCAGCAAATCCAGTACCACTGCCTGGACATCAGGGGCATTGGTAACTTCCTTGAGTACAGCAGACTTAGCTTGGGCTCAAGAGCCGGGGCTGGGACTGTAGTCAGTGGGTGGGGGGCACATGGGAATGTAAACGAGTGCTACATGCTGGGCAGGAACTTCCTGCGCTGTCTGCTGTGCTCTGGGACAGCCAGGCCCCAGGTGTAGCCAGTAGCTCTGGGCAGGACCAGCGTCTTGGTTACAGGAAAGGGTCCCAGGAGGGGAGACAGGCTTTGAGGAGAGGAATCACACAATAGCTCAGGAGAGAACATTTTTAGAAACCATTTTCTAGGCTGGGTAGTTAGGGAACTTGGGCTCAAGACTGCAAGACCACTGAACCCACCCTGGCATTTCTAGGATCTTTTAAAGCTCTTAAATCAGGGTTAATGGCTGTAGTGTGGGGCACTAAACCAGATACCATGCTTAAGTCCCAGGAGCCTGCAGTGCTGTGGGGAGAAACAGGTAAACAGGTCCTTATGACATATTGCAAGAAGTGTCTATGCTGCACACCACCACATGGGAATTAGGTAGTCTCGGGCAAGTCACTCAAACCTCTCTTTTCAGTTTAGCCATCAACAAAATGGGTGTAACCATAATGTGGCATCGGATAGTATCTGCTGTCTGAGTGCAAGGAGGTGGGCCACACTAAGTGCTTTAGAGCAACACCCAGCACCTCCTAAGTGCTATTCCATGCTCAGAATAGCTAAGTGGCAGTTGGGAGTCTCCCTAGTGAAAGATGGGAAGCCACTGGAGGTTTTTGTTTATGCTTTTGTATTTCTGGGAATCAAACCCGTGGCCTTGTTCATGCCAGGTGAGCTCTCTACCACCAAGCTACACTTCTAGCTCTGAGTTAAAAAAAAAAAATAGCCCTTATATCCTATATTATTTGCCTAGAGAAATAGAAGCTGTAAAGTATGTAACTTCTTAATAATTGTTTTTGGGTTTTTTTTGTGGTGCTGAGGATCAAACCAAGGCCCTCATGTATGCTAGCAGGCAAGTGCTCTACTACTAGGCTAGCCGGGGAGATGGCTTAGTGGAATAAGCACTTCCCTGGCAAGCACAAGGGCCTGAGTTCAATCCCTGGTTCAAAAAAAAAAAAAAAAAAAAAAAAAAAAATCTACTACTGGGCTATATAGCCTACCTCTAAAAAATTATTTTTTACATAAAACTGCACATATTAATGGGATACCACATTGTTTCAATACATGTGTGCATTGTATAATGGTTAAATCAGGCCAAACATATCTATATCCTCACATATTTCTCACTTCTTTCTGATGGAAGCTTTCCTAATCCTTTCTTTCAGCTTTTTGCCATGCGTAGTACATTGCCCTTATGGGTAGTCACCCTACTTTGCAAAAGAATTCCAGAGCTTCTTGCTCTTCTCTGACTGTACCCCATGCCGGTGGACCACTTTCTCCTGTCCCTCCCTCCTGCCTCTCTCCACAGCCTCCAGTCGCCACCATTCTACTCTGAATTTCTACGAGATCAGCTTTTTCAGATGCCACTTGTGAGAGATCATGTGGTCTCGTCTTTCTGTGCCTGGCTTTTCTTTTTTTTTTTTTTAAAATTATTTATTTATTTATTTATTTAATTACTTATTTTGTGTGTGTGTGTGTGGCCAGCTCAGCCCACCAGGGGATGGGGCTGGCTGGCATGTGGTGCTGGGGGATTGAACCGCGGTCCCTATGCTTTGCTAAGCTTGTTCTAAGTAGGTGCTTTAGACCACTGAGCCATCTCACCAGCCCCATGTGCCTGGCTTTTCTCATTTAACATAAGGATCTCGGTTCCATCGGTCCTCCTATAAATGACAGGGTTTTATTCTTTTTTTTTTTTTTTTTTTTAATTTTTTTTTTATGCCTGAATAGTAATTTGGCGGTTTTTAGTGTACTCACAGATAGTTGCAACTTAACCACAGTCAGTTTTAGGACATTTTCTTCACTTCCAAAAGAAACCTTATACACTGTAGCTGTTGCTTTCCTACCTGATCCCTCCCAGCTCTGAGGAAACATGAATCTTTCTGTCTTCCCAGGCAAGTAGATTTGTCTGCTCTGGACACTTTGTAGACATGGAATCATGTTACATGTGGCCCCTTGTGCATGACTTTTTGCACATGGTCCTCAAGCCTGCCCCCTGGGCAGCCCGATGGTGTGGGGTTTGGAGTGAAGAGAAGTGGGGCCCGGGCTCCATTTGGTGGTCATCCTGGTGTAGGCGTGGTGGTGTGCGCCTGTAATCCCAGCTCTTGGAAGGCTGTAAACAGGCAGATCACTATGAGTCCAATCTAGTAGTGAGACCTGGAACACCCTATGGACCCTTCCCTAAAATACAAAAAAAAAAAAAAAAAAAAAAAAAAAAAGTGGTGTAGAGTGGGAGAGGGGCTGAAGGGAATTGTACTTGGTGTGAAAATATAGGCCAGAGGTGAAGCGCCTTGGACCAGATCACAGGAAGGGAAAGAGGGGGCTTCTGGAAACCTTAGAGGAGCTGTTTCCATTGACCACTCTGTTTTTGGAATGACAAGTTGCTTTTTCTGAGGGAGTTGAGAGGGAGGGCTACCTAGCCCTGTGGGTGAGTGTGTCTGTTAGGACTCAGGGCTTGTGCTCAGCATTTGGGAGGTGGATGGCTAGGGTAAGTGAGTGATCTGCTTGGTGTAACAGAAGGTGCTAGAGCCCGGTGGCAGCCGGGGCAGTGCAAACCTTGCTCTAGGAATTTAAGTTGCGCTTTAGTGGTTCTGAAAAGCCCCAGAAAAGTCTCAAGCAGAGGCAGGATGTAGTCAGTTCATTTTTAAGGTGAATGCTCAGTGGCATTATGGGAAATGGACTACAGTGGGGAGACCCATGTCCAGGCAGGAGTGAGGAAGGGCTGAACTCAGCAATGAGTTCAGAAGGAAGGCAGGGGTAGGAGGGTTACTGAGGGGGGCAGAGTGGTGTTTGCTCAGACTCCTGGGTATCCACCTCGGAAACAGTGGAGCTTTTGCTGTGATCTCAGCACTGAGAGGCTGAGGCAAGAGGATCACCATGAGCTTGAGACCAGCCTGGGCTACACAGTGAGACCTTGTCTCAAAACAAAACCAAAAACAACAGTGGAGCTATCCTAAAGGGAAATCTGGAACTTGGAACACTTAAGAGATGGTGGGCTGATGGTGGGCAGAAAGGGGTTTTGAAAAGAATATTCTGGGAGGAAAACTAACAAGGAGGAAGAGTGAATCTGAAGGAGGAGGGAGTGGAAAAAACCTGTGGAGAGGTCAGGATCAAGGAGGACAGGAGTGTCTGCTGGGTTGGCCATTTGTAGGTCTTTGGTGCCCTTGGAGACAGAGGCCTAGATGAAAGGAGGATGACTCATGGGGTGAGGTCTCTGAGGAGCAGAGGCCATGAGGGCAGAGACAGGAGGAAATACACAGAGGAAGGGGACCTGTGCCATCCTCTGCAGCCTCCATGCTACCAAGGATGGAGAAGAAGATGGGGTGATTTCCTAAGAAATGGGGGCCAGGTGGTAGAGGGGTAAGAGAGATGACCAAGGACAGACAGCCCAGTGGCCAGGGCTGTGCCAAGGCTGGAGACCACAGGCTGGGGAATGTCGTCAGCCTGCCTAGTGCTATGATGGCAGCGCTATCATGACAACAGGACCAGATGCCTCTGAAAATTTGGGCAAGAGTGACTGAGATGATGTGCAGAAAGATGGGGCTGGATGGGGAGCAGGTAAGGCCAGGAAGGTGGCAACAGCCTTTCAGGGGAGTCAGGGGTCACAGGCAAGTGCTGCAGTTGTAATGGGGTGAGAGAGATGCTGGGGTGGAGGTTTCAGAGGAGGACCAGGTGGGTAATGGCAAGATGGAGAACATATTGGTGGAAATGAGTGTCTACAGGGAAACATCCGGGGCCCAGAAGAAGGAACCTGAGGGAGCCTGATGTTGAGCAATAATATTACTAACATGGATTGAGCACTTCCTAAGCGTTAG